TAGCTTTACCCCAGCATAGGAAAGTGAGTAGTTAAGGGTGTTCACGATATGATTTGGTTCAAAATTTAATTTTTTTAAATCAATTCAATTTAATAGATTAATAAAATTTTTAAACTAATCTAATCTACTATTATATGATAACCAAACTAATCCAATTTAAATGGATTTGTGTAGTTCGATCAAATTGATCGATTTTTAAAATAATTAAATGTATAAGATAATGTAAAAAATTTTAATATTAAGTAGAAAATATAATTATAAAACATATTAACATTTAAATTGGTAAAAATATAATTAAAAAAATACAAATTATAAATGTTCTTAAACTCCTTTACAATTGAAAAAATTGAAAGACTCTAAAAATTCTTCTTAGCTACATCATTGAGATACCAAGAATAATAAAAGATGATTCTAAATTTCAAGTATAGTGTAAGTTATTTTTAAAGGTTAAAACTAATTTTTGTTTTTTTTTAATACACCAATAACTTAATTTCATCTTTTAAATTTTGTTAAAAGTGAATAAAATTTAAAATGAATATTACTAGAATTGATTAATATTCATAATCAAAATTTAGAATTCCTCAACCAAACATCCAAGAATAGTAAAATATTAAGAATAATTTTATTATAAAGGTTTACTTCATGAATGATGCTTCTTTAAGGCTTAGTTAGGAGAATCAAAATATTATTTTATAAACAAATTATAAATTTAGGGTTCTAAGAGGAGAGTTGCATATCAATTTTGAGGGGTAAAATTGTGTGTGAATTAGAAATTTAGAATTAAAGTTAAAGTGCACAATTAAGAAAAAAATAAATTAGGGAACAAAGGAATGTTATACTTTTATTTTTTTAATTAAATTAATAAAGTTATTAACTTGTGAAATAATAAAAAGAAAAAATTTAAAATACTACAAAAAATATTATATTATTTAATTAAATTATCTTGTAATTAAAGTTTTATTTTGTAATCAGACAGTTCAAGTGGTTTAAAAGTAAAATTATAAACCAAACTAATTATATCAGTTTTAAAATTTTATAATTTAAACCAATCTAATTTTATATCGGATTTGTTTGGTTTTTAATTAGATTGGATCAATTTGGGTTGACTTAATCAAATTGAATCAGATATGAACACTCTTAGGAGTAGTGACCTTTAGGCGCTGTTCACCCCTCTTCTTCTTCCTCTTTTTTTACTCTCTCTTATATATAGTAAGAAAACCTAATTGTGCAATAAACCTCTCCTCTTAGGTCTCCTATTTTCTTGTGAACCCTCCCTCTTTTTCTTTTTCTATTGCTTCTCTTGTCACTAGATCCTAAAGCATACGATCATTGTAGTTTGATATAGTGGAGCTATCAATGGGAGAGAACTATTGATAATAAGTGTGTGCTTTCCTTAAGAATTTGACAAAACAATTGAAAATGTCTATTAGTTCAAGATGCTCGTAAGGACTTTCTTTTATTTTAGTAAGTCTGTTTATGCTCTTATGGTGAATCTAGATGCAGATGGCTTTTTATACTTAATTATTTATGTTTATCATAAGTATAGTTTTAAGTCTGTATTTAGTGTTAAAGGATATACTTATTTTTTCTTTTGACACATTAGAAGTTAATTGCTTGGGGTTGCAGACAGGGAC